AAGAAAAGTATTTCATGAAAAATATCATAATAATATAATAATATTATAAAGACATCATTTTGTGATATGTATACATCTTTATAATTGAATTTATACGATTTTAAAAATAATAATTTGTAAACGTTTTTGTTTTGTTTTAAAAAAAACTTAATCCTAAGATTATTGGAGGTAGTTATGATAATATTTTCTAATTAATTTTTTTAATTAATTTTTTAATTAGATATCTTAATTAATTTTTGAATTATAAAAATACCCCAATCAAACTCAATCTTTGAATTATCAGTAAAATTGATCCAACTAATTAAAAATATTTAAAATGGTCCGGAACTTTAATCACCCTAAGGAAGATACCAAAATTCCTAGTCTATATACAGATGAATGATTTATATTCTAAATATATACATATATGATTGTAGTTTCCTACTCCTACCCTTATCTTTATCTTCTTTTCTGTTTCTTTTTCTTTTCATAGTTATTTTAATAAAATTAAATTTTCGGATCTATCCAAAAAAAAAAAAATTGCGAACTCATTCTACTTGATTTCTTTTTTTTTTTTAGTTTTGGTTTGAGTGTTTTTGGATTTTTAATAAATTAGATAGATACAAACCCGACAAAAAATATATTGTTCTAATGTATATTTGTACGATTTTTTAGGTGATTGTCTTTTTGTTATGAATTGACAAATTTGTCATTAATTGTATGGTGGAGATTAAAAGTAATAAATGAATTAAAAATAAAAATGTAAAATTTGTGTTTAAAAAAAAAAATATGACAATAGTTGTTGAACGTCCCAGATAAAAAAATAGGACATTAGTTTGTAGAGGAAGGGAGTATCAAATTAGATCAGGTCGGATTTTTAATTGACTTGGTAGTCATTATTGAATGATTCGAAACCATATATATATATATATATATTGTTCTATTGTTATTTCAACATTTGTTATTAAAAAAAATAAAAAACAGAAACAAACTCTAAATGTTAGTTTCAATTGTTTTCTACTTGATCGAGGATCAAATAATTACCTTAAATCATGTTTCATTTCAACATTAAATTGAAAACATACTTAGAAAGGCTCTTCACCGTCCTAATTTCTATGATCATTTTTTCCAAGCTAGGTGTGATAAGTATATTGGTTCCCAGTTCGAGGGATTAGGGGTGAGCACGGTTCGGATATTTGTAAATATTCAAGTATTTGATATCCGAATCGAACCGAACAAATATCCAAAATCACGAACCGTATTCGAATAAAAAATTTCGGTTAATCGAAAATATTTGCAAATAATTTGAACCGAATCGAAATTAAAAAATAATATATTAAAAAATAGTTTAAATTCTAATTAAATCAAAATATTTACAAATATTTCAAATATCCGAATCGTAATTGAACCGAAACCGAACCGAATATAATTTTTAATATAAAATTTAAAATATAATAACACAAATAAATAAATATATTCAGTTCGGTTAACCGAATCGAAAAAATATCAAAAACCGAAATCGAACCGAATCGAGCAAATATCAAATATGTAATATTTGTATTCGAATCGAATTTGCTCGATAAACCGAAAATTCGATTCGGTTCAGTTCGATTTAACGATTCGATTCGATTTTTTTGTCCGCCCTAGGAGGGATACCATAGAAAATATAGGAAGTTAGAACTAGGGTGTATATTAGCCATTGGAAATCTGTATATAATTTCTTATTACTAAAATTTGTTATCCTTTGATCTTTTCTGTGGTTTTAGGTAGTTCCTATTTCATAGGATTTGATTTTTTATTTTTTTTAGAGATATTCGCGTGAATATCATTTTTTAATTACAATTCTCCAAAAAAAATAATAAGCAATACATAATATTTTATATAAAAGTCAAAAAGTAATACAAAAAAACTTATAATACTCGTTATAAAAAGTCATTTACAAGAAGTCCAAAAATCAAATATTCAACCTAAAATAATACTTCTTCCGTCCCATAAGTAGGGTTCAATTTTTCATTTTCATCTGTCTCAAAACAATGGTACTATTTTTTAATTTAGTAATAGTACTACCTACTTAACATAATAAATACTCTTCCAACTTACAATATATTACACAAATGTCACCACTTTTATATTACATAATATTAATAAGAGTATTTTCGTCTTTTTCACTTCAACTCAATATAATACTAATATTAAAAAATCTACATACAAAAAATAAACGTTACTTTTTATATGAGACGAAGGAAGTATATTTTATATTTTTAACAGAGTTTCTCGTACGCCACGCAAAAAGATCATTTCATCTAAAACCACGTTTCATCCTTGTATATATTCTACCATTTGAATGAATAAAGTGATCAAAAAGTTAATTTTAGATTCTACATTATTTATATTATTTTAAACATACTCACACTGTTAATACAATAATTTAAATAAAATATAATTAATAAGGTCGCGGCAGCGGTGCTGAATTTTAAATTCAGCACTTTTCTGAACAACACAGCTTGTAATAACAACCAGAACAATGTATTACTTTTGACAGCACATACTTATATTAATATAATACAAATAGAACACATAAATTAACAACACACCATGTAATAACAAATACAATATATAAATTAAAAACACACTATATAATAAAAAACAACACACTGTATTACTTCTGACAACACATCTCTTATATTAATATAATACAAATACATCACATAAATTAGCAGCACATGTTATAGTCACATACATCACACATAACAGTTGATTTTAACATATTACATATTTTTATACAACACGTGTAATAAGAACGTGTACTATTTTTATATATTATATGTGTTGATTTGAAAATTCAGCACAGTGCTAAATTTTTCAAATCAGCACCGTAACAATTCCCAATTAAAAATATATTGGTAAATAAAATTTTAATAAATAATATAAATAATTATAAATAAAAATTAATTAATTAATTTAATTAAAATTAAAAAAATTATTGATTATAAAATTATAAATGTGATTATATAAAATATACTATAATTATTTTTCCTAAAACAAAGAATAAATAAGGTGAAACGAACGAAATAAAAATATTGGACAAAAAATATAGGATGGAGGGAGTATTATACCAATATCATATAATTGATTTCGAGTCTATTTCCAACACCATTACCCAAATTTCTTGTATTGATAAGATAATTTATTTTACTTTATTACTTCGTCCATCCGGTAAAATTAGAATATTTTGGTCGGATACGAAGATTAAAAAAATAAATTTTGTATCGAAGGATAAATTATATAACTTCTTTATATTTTAGTAAAAATACACAACATACCCCATGTCTTATTTGTTGCGAATAACTCCCTTGTGTTAAATTAAAGTTTGTATAAAACGCTATCCGTCTAAAGTTGACATTTGGGTGGAAATATAAATCTAGATTATGCAAATTTTATATCTATAAAAGATGTAAAATATCTTAAATAGTTTTTTTTAATAAAATAAATAAATATTTGATTATCCTTCATTTTTATAGGTTTTTTTCGAAAAAAAAATCAGATAATAGTTTATCTTAAAAAAAATTACTACAAAATAAATTATTAATCAATTGTTTATTTTATGAAAAGATTATTTAATATTTTTACCTATTTTGTTTATATAAAATTTATATAATTAGATTCATATTTATACCCAAATATCAGCTTAAGTGAAAGATGGTATTTTGTGCAAACTTTATTTTAATATAAAAAGATTTCAAATAACAAATAAAATACGAGATATTTTTGTATATTTTTACTAAAATACAATAACGTAATATATGAAAAAGTAAAAAAAAAATAAAAATGTACAATTTTTTAATTTTGCAAAATTTAATAATAAAGTAAATTTAAGTCAAATAAAAAAAAAAAAAAAAATTGACGGCCGTACCTCTATATCTAATGAAGTTGTATTTTAGAATACATCAGTGGATGGGTGCAAGTTGCTCTTAACAAAAGTAATAAGATTTCTATTGATAACGTTTGTTATATGCTCTAAAATTAAATAAAATAAGCATATTGTTATAATAAAGATTAATATAATATATCTAAAGTAGGGTGTATTGTTTAATATATATAAATATAATAAAAGGAGATTTGAAAGTAAGTAAAAATAAAATAATAAACTAAAAATTTACGAAAAATCTATGGCTAAATGTTAATCTCCGTAGAAATAAGCTTATAGTGTAAGAATGATATTGACAAATTGGATAGTCAAAGTACTTCCGATAATTGCTTTCCTTATTAGATCAGAATCCAAGTTTTAATAAAAGTGAGTAATAAAAAAAATACAAAAATGTAACAAATTTTTTACTTATAAAAAAAACGAGAATATTTTTCAACGACAATCCAAAAAGAAAAGTGAGTGTAAATTTGAATGAATGAGAGAGTATAAAATACTAATATGAACCATTTTATTTCTATCTTCTCAAAACACAAATATATATATATATTTAAAACTTTATATCTTTTATAAATTAGTTTATATTAATTATAAATGAATAAATGTATTTTTTTTATTTACTTGTATTATAAAAAATTCTATTCTCTAAAAAATAATATTCATATTAGATATATTTTTTATTGCGATATAATTTTTAAAATATTTAGATACAAATTCTAAATTTTTAATCATATATATATATTAAATTTATTTTAAACCTACAAATATTGTTAATTTCATAAAATAATAAATAATATAATAATTTACTATTATTAACTATTATCTTAAATATCAATCATTAATGAAAGAATTCAATTCAGGAGTATAATTTATCAAGATATAAGAAACATACCATGGATAAGCTTTGCGGCTAAGAGATCTTAGAAATAAAAGAGACATTTAACGATAAGTTTGAGCTTGTTTGAAAAGATGATCTTTAAGGTGCATAAAATATTGTCATATAAGATATAGTCTTTTAGGGTTTGTTTGGTACAATCCTAACCATGGTTAATTAGGTAATTAACTAATTTATATCTGATCAAACCCCTAAGTATATAAATTAAGGCATAATATCATCGAACCAAATATAAACCATGGAGTTATTTTTCATTGTCGGAGCAGTCACAATTGTCTTAATCCTTATTTCCTATTATGCATTCTCTTCTTCAATTTTCCTCAATCCCAAATCCTGCTCAAGAAACCGGCGGCCGCCGGAAGCCGGCGGCGCGTGGCCCATCACGGGCCATCTGCACATCATGAACAACGGATCACCCGACAAGCTCCCGCACCTAACCTTAACGGCCATGGCCGAATCGTACGGTCCGATCTTCGAAATCCGGCTCGGCGCCAGGCGAGCCGTCATCGTCAGCGGCTTGGAATTGGTAAAGGAAATATACACCACGTGTGACGTGGCGGCGGCGTCCCGACCGAGAATCATGTCGGCAGAAATCCTCGGCTTCAACTCGGCAATGTTCGGCTTCAGCCAATACGGCCCGTATTGGCGCGAGCTGCGGAAGCTGATCGCAGTCGATCTCCTGTCCAGCCGCGGGCTCCACATACAGCGGCACGTGCTCGTGTCCGAGACTGCGCAGTCTGTCCGAGAACTGTACGGTCTTTGGAACGAGAGGAAGAACGCGTCGGGAAGTGCTCCGGTGGAGATTAGGGATTGGGTCGGGAATCTGAATCTGAACGCAGTTTTGAGGATTGTTGTCGGGAAGAGATATTTCGTCTCCGGCGGTGACATAGCCGAGGCGAGACATTGCCGGAAAGTGCTGAGGACATTCTTTTACCTCATCGGAGTTCTGACGATCGGAGATGTCCTGCCGTATCTCCGGTGGCTCGACCTCGGCGGATTCCGGAAGAAGATGAAGGAGACGTCCCGGGAATTGGATACACTCGCCGCGAAATGGTTGTCAGAACATCGCGCCACCGCCGCCGCCGATGGCAAGCAAGAGGATTTCATGGATGTAATGATTGGAGTCGTCAAAAGTGCAAAGCTTGGAAGCGAGTACGATGAAGACACCATAATCAAAGCCACTTGCTCGGTAATTTCTTGATTTCATTTTCAGATTTCTCGAACTAATCGAATCTTTGAAACACCAATACATACATACATACATACATACATTTTGCAGAATTTGATTTCGGGAAGTGACACGAACACAGTGATGTTAGTATGGTCGCTGTCTCTATTACTGAACAATCCAAAAGAGCTAAAGAAAGCCCAGCAAGAACTCGACGAGAAAGTCGGGAGAGAGCGGCGCGTGGAGCTGTCGGACATGAGCAACCTCGTATACCTCGAAGCCATAGTGAAAGAGTGTCTCCGGCTGTACCCGGCGGCGCCGTTGAGTGCGGTACGAGAATTCAGTGAGGACTGCAACGTGGGAGGCTACGAAATAGAGAAAGGCACGATGCTCTTCGTCAACATATGGAAGTTGCAGAGGGACCCGCAGCTTTGGGAGGAGCCCGACAAGTTCTTGCCGGAGAGGTTTCTTACCACCGCCGGCCATAGGGATTTCCAGTGGATCCCGTTCGGCGGCGGCCGGAGAATCTGCCCCGGTGTGAATTTGGCGTTGGAGATGATGAAGCTGGTGATTGCCAATTTGGTGCAAGGATTTGACATTTCGACGCTGGACGATGAACCCGTTGACATGGCTGGGAGTTTTGGGTTGACCATATCCAAAGCCGGCCCATTGAATGTTCTTGTTTCCCCTAGACTGCCTGCTTCTCTTTACTAAATATCGTATGTATATTGTGAAAATTGAATAAATTGTTACTTTTTCCCCATTGAAAATTAAATCAAATAAAGCAATTTTGGCTGCAAAAAATAATAATAGACATATTTACAATATATATATATGTTTTCTATTGCACAATAAAATATGTGGCCTTGGATTTAAATCCAAGGTTATTGTTACGTTGTTGTATGACTTGAAATTGAACTCAAGTCCACTCCAATTAAAAAATTAAATCTAAAACTCAACTATGGTTTATTAGTCAAAATATCGAATTATTCTCTCGCAAAAGCCACTCCCAAACTAGCTGTTTGCCATTTTTTTTTTTAAATATCTGTAATAATAATAATAATAATAATAATAATAATAATAATTCAATCCTCACCAAGAAAATCAATTTCAGTATTTTGACTAATAAATCTCGTCACAGATACGAAGCTAAACCTATACAGATTCCCAAGCAGACATACAATGAAAGCATGACTTTATACATAAATGAAATGGATTTGTTTGGGGTTTTGGATTTTGAGTTGGGATTTGAATAGTAAAAATTTTGAATTTGAATAGTTGTATGATGTGATATAAATAGGTGTTGATGTGATGTTTTGAATGTAAAATTGATTTTTAGTATAATATAATAAATGAAAAATAGGTGTGTGATTTAATTTTTTTGGGAAAACAAATGAGATAAAATAGTAAATTAAAAATTTAATCCCCAAACAAACACACCCTAAGGGTCAATATTTACGTACGAAAATATCACACAAAACATAAAAGTCTAATCTAACCTAAAATTTAAAAAAGGAGGCTTAGGAATCAGGGCAATTGGCACTTCTCACGGAGCTCTGCGAATTGCTGTCGTTTATGGATGTGTTTGGTTGGAGTTTGAATTTTGAGTTGATATTTGAATAGTAAAAATTTTGAATTGGAATAGTCATACGTGATATTTTGAATGTAAAATTAATTTTTAAAATAATATAGAAAATAAAAAATAAAAGTTTGATGTGATATTTTTGAAAAAAAAAATTGAATGAATAATGGATTTTTTTGGCAAAATTTCTCAAAAAAACACACCCTATATATTTATTTATTTATTATTATTATTATGAGTATATGAGAACTTTTCGGCAGGACCGTCTGGTACTTTTTGATGTTCCTGAGCAAAATTAAATGATAAGTTCTATGAACAATTTTTTTTTAAATACTATCAACGAATAATACAATAATAAATTTTACAAAAATAAAAATTATATTAATCATATATACAATAAATGAAATATACGTGGCCAGTAAGGGTAATTGATGGACTGCCGGACCTAGTTTGTGATACAAAATTTAACTATTATAAAATTTTACAATATTTTGACTATTATAAAGTTAATAACTCAATAATATTAATTAAAAATTCTAAATTCTAAAGACTAGGAATATAAGATTAGAAAAAAAAAAATTATAGAGTTTATTAGAATTAGAATTGGATTAGGTAATCGTAAAAAAAAAATGTACGATAAAATTTAATTAAATTTTAATACATCTAATAATAATTATGGACTTTATAAATATTAACGAATTCTAAAGCGAGGACGACGAGATTATAAAAGAATTATGATTAGAATTTAATTTTAGAATTAAAATTAGATTAGGTAATTGTTGAAAAAAATTTGGGATAAAATTTAAAAATAAATTTTAATATATCTAATAATAACTAAAATTAAAAAATATGTGATTTTTGCTATATATATATGTTAGTATTATGTTAAATTGATGTCTGGTTGTATGGTTAAACTCAGCTACTCGAGACCTAGTCAGGTTCTGATACCATGTCGGATGCTGAACGACCGTTTCACCCAAAAACTTGAACTGTTAGAGAAACTCAGCCATTTTTCATATATCCGCAAACAGAAGGCCAACATTTTTATAATTTAATTTAGCAGTAGCCATGATTTACTGATTTCGTAGATAGATAGCATTTTATTAGCACATTGCATTTGTATAAATAATATTGTAGCAGTTGATAAGAAAATTTTATCATAATTAGGTGGCAGATAATATTCTTCTTGGCATTGCCTGCAATATGGAAACTTTTGACATTATTATCAGGTAAAATTGTCCATAACTCTCTTATGGTTTCGAAACTCAGCGTAAATTCTCCCTCTACTTTAAAAATTGCATGACGTCCCCTTATACTTTAAAAAATATTGCATGAAACCACTTTGTGGTTTCGAAATTCAGCATAAATCCCCATTTTATTTTAAAAAATTGCATGACGCTCATCTTCTTATCATACGAGAAAAGTTTCATGGTGGTGGGGTTTCATGCAACGTTTTTTAAAGTATAAGGGGGTACTATGCAATTTTTAAAGTACAGGGAGATTTTACGTTGAATTTCGAAACCACATAGGAGTTATAAGCAATTTCACCTTATTATTATTATTATTATTATTATTTTAAAGTTGGATGTTATATATGGTGAAATTTTTACAAAGTATCTTGTGAGGTGCTATGAAGATGCCAACAAAAGTGTGATCTTTTGAAGTTAGATTAGTTCAATAATAAAATGGCTTAATATTTAGCATAGCATCTTAAGTTTCGGGCAAGAAAGAGCCCTTCGATTTGGACATGAATCTTGATTTCAGTGATAAGTACAATGAGAATGCCTGCAACAACTCAATGTCCGCAATCTTTAACTAAAACACGGACATTGAGTTCGACGATGACACCGGAACCTTGTCGAAAATTGACGTGGATTGGTTCCAACTTGGTTTGGTCCTAATGATGCATGTGATTGGACAAAAATATATTTAATTTTACTTTATGTATTGCATTTAATTTTTTTAAATATATTTCTTAATACTACATCTATATTTACTAATTATATCATTTTTATTTTTTTATTTTATTTTTTATTATAACTGGCATTCATAAATTTTTAAATTTATAATGTTTGTGATACCTTATCCGGGACGGGAAAGTATATGTTATATTCATTCATATAATTCAATATAAAATATTATTTTTTATTTTACCGACAAGTTATCTTATATATACTTAACACCTCGGACTCAAAATATACAACAAAAACACTCATATATTGTACTTATTCAGTCAGCTAAATTTTTTGTTCATCGATGATATATACTCAATTACTATATTTGGAATTGTAAAAAAAAAAATAATATTAAATTGTTACACTTTATTCAATATTTATTTAAAATATCATTATTGCATTCGCTATCTTTATTTTCTTTTATTATTAATTAAATTTTCAAAAATAATTTTAATTACTTTTTAATTATTTTTACTTTATCAATAAATATATTTTTTAATTTCCGTATCCAACCAAACAGACTATATAACAGAAGAATATGACAATTTAATTAATATACTTTTAAAAATACCCCCTTGCAAATATAGCTTTTATTTCAAAACGTGATTGAAATCCTTGCCTTACAAAATTATTTAGCTCGTTCCAATTAAAAAAAAAAAAAGTAAATATTTAGCTGGCCGGTGATACCGACAACTCATTAATAAATATATTAAAATAATACTATAATTTATAAAATTAATACTATGGCTTTTCTTTGAGTTTTTATTTTTTATTTTTTTTTATTTTTTTTATTTTAATAAAAGATTTTAATTTTTTTGGATATAAAAAATGGAGTAATATTTTATATTAAAATACTATTTTTGATAAATTGATTATATCTATATATTATACTAATGTATGTATATTATGTTTTTTAATAATATTTATAAAAAATAGTTCCATGGAATATTAGTATTTTTTTTCCTATATTGATTAATTAATTAGTATGATGATAATTAATTTTAATTTATTGAATTAGAGCGGTATATAAGATTGGAGTAACAATTTTCTGTTGGTGTCTCTGACTCTATGGTAAGATTGCTTAAATATTTAAGTTATTTTACAAAATAATGTAGAATGAATATTAATCATTGTGTTGTCTATAATTCTATATTAGCTAAATAAATATTAATAATGTGCAATTTGTACGTAAATGTATAAAGTTATATATATATATATATTGCTGACTAAATAAACAATATATTGTTTATATTTATTAGAGTTGACAAAAATTAATTCGACACGATCCGACACGAAATAATTGGGTTTGGGTCAAAGATTTCAATCCGATTATGTGTACAGATTGACACAAACCCGACACGATAATAAAATGGTCGAATTAGGATTGAGACTCTCAACTCGAACCGGACGACAACCCGATTATAATATATTAATATTGATTAATATATTTATTATATATATGTAAAATAATCATAATCTAGTAATTTTATCGTAAATTAATTTAAACTAAGTTTAATTTTAAATAATTCAACATAATTTAAGCTCAAATTAATAAAAACTAACATAACACGACAACGCAACAAAAAATTATTTAATTTGAATCAAGAAATTTGACTTAATTATGTATACGGGTCAGCACGAGTCAACTCGAACCCGACACGACAATAAACGGATCAACACGAATCCAACACGATAATAAACGAATCGGATTAGGATTGAATAATTGAACCCGTTTAAAATATTCAACCCGTCACGAATCGACCCATTGCCGACTTTAGTATTTATATGCACGAGACTTTCTAAATATTCAAAATATTTATGTATATGGCTTACATTCAGTTAAATATTAGTATTTGGATTTATCGTAACCATTAATTCAAATCACAAATTTTGTCGGTTACTCATTTACATTTGGGCTAGGGGAAGATCAGCTGTCCCAGTTAATAAATGGCAGAAAACGACCACGTGCCCGCACATTAAACCACATTTAATTTTTTACTTTTGTACGTCATTTTTTCTCTGCGACATCAGTAAATATATCTTTTTCTATTTTATATTTACAATAAAGAAATTATTCATTTTAATTTTTTAATTAATTTTAATATATATATATATATGCATATTGTTTTTTATTTGTAATTAATTATTATTTTTTCAATATTTTAATTTATTAATAATTTATAGAATAAAAGAATATATTATTTATTATTTAGTAAATTTAAATTAATTTTTTTTTTATTTTATCATGAAATTATTTGTTATTGTTAATTTTTTCAATAAATTTAATTAATA